CAGGTGAGACTGGTCAAAGAGCAAGGTGTAGAAACGGGGTTCAGGTTTGTTTAAGAGGAGCCAGCTGGACATCCATTACTGTTTGATCAGGGCGGCAGAACAATTGGCTAAGTGGATTGACTTATTATGATGGGTTACCCAAGAAAGATTAGAGCTAAAAGTTATGCCAAGATATTTAAAAGTTTTGACTTGTTTAATTTCTGTACTGTCCATAGACCATCTTGCCAAACGCCATCTTTTAGCAAATATTATTACCTTTGATTTGGAAAAGTTAATGGTAAGTGAGTTACTTTGACAATAATTATAGAATGCCTCCAAGTATCTTTGTAAGCCCACCCTCAAGCAGGAAAGAACTGTGGTGTCATCAGCATAAAGTAACAATGGAGTAGGAAGACCACCAAGACTGGGCGGGTGACCATTAACTAAACTAAGGGAGTGGGCCAAGTCGTTCAAGAAAAGATTAAAAAGGTGAGGAGCAAGGACACAGCCCTGCTTAACTCCCTTCTGTGTAGGTATTCTCTCTGTTAAGTGACCCTTAGTCGAATATTTAACTTGACAAGAGGTGTCTGTATGCAGTTGCTTTAGTAGGAACAGCAACCTCGGGTCTATTCCTTGTTTCTTCAGTTTAGTCCAGAGTACATCCCTTGGAATTGAGTCAAAAGCGCTTTTAAGATCTATAAATGTTACAAAAAGCTTTTTCCTTCCTAAATTCAGGTATTTTTCAATTAGGAAGTTCAATCTGAGGCAGTGGTCAATCGCAGAATTTCCTTTGCAGAAGCCTATCTGTTCTGGCCCGATTACATCATTTATATACATCCAATCTAATAGTCAGTGTTCAAGATGTTTAGTGTAAAGCTTGCCTAAAATAGATAAAAGGCTGATTGGACAAAAGTTACTGGGCTGATCAAACCCACCTTTCTTATAAATTGGAATTATTATCGAATTGAGCCAGGTGTTCGGAATTTTGCCATAATGATCAATGAGCATGAATAAGGAAGCCAACGGCTGGGCCCACCAATCAACATATTTTTTAAGTAGTTCAGCTGGGAGCCCGTCCGGACCAGGTGATTTTCCCATTTTTAGATCAACAATTAATTCAATGATTTCGTCTGTGCTCACCGGAGGCCACGGTGGTAAGTCTAAGGCAATGGGATCATCTTCCTCATTATAGGGAGCTACAGGGACATCATACAATGTTGAGAAATGTGCCACCCATTGCTGAGATGTAATAGCAGGGGTGGCAAAAGAGGAGTTATCACTGGGATTACTCGAAGTAAGTTTCCAAAAGGATTTGCTATCCTTGCATTTGATAGCCCTTTACAATTGGTCCCATTTACCGTGAAAAAAATTTTTTTTTCCTAATGATAAAGTCTTGGAAGCTTTCCTTATGTTTTAAAAATTCATTATATTTGCTAGAGTCCCCAGCCTGGCATAGTTCTTTAAACATGCATCTCAGTTTCTTTTTCCGGATATGACATTCTAGACTGAACCAAGTGGAAGATTTTGAGACAGCTACCTCAGCAGGTTTAGCTTTTAGACTACATTTGCTAATTAAGCAAGAAAAGATAGAAAGAGCATCTTCAACCGAGGTCGAGTTAATTAACCCACTCGCAAGCTGATCATTGGTTCAGATCCAAGTAAAGTATGAAAATCTTTTTCTAAAGCTGCAGACCATTTAATTCTTTTAAAGATATTATCAGAGGCATGACTATCATAAAGCGATATACGCTCAAAGTTTGATAAGTTACATTTTAAAACTATAGTCAAAGGCAGATGGTCACTTTCAAGGCGGCGTTTGATGGTAAAATAGGAAATATTGGACAATAGGCTATACAAGCAAAGCATATAATCTATTACACTTTGACCCCTTACGGAGCTAAAGGTGCACCCCTTTGAGTCAGGGAAGCAGCTTAAACCATTCAAGATTATCATATTGTGCATTATACAAAGGTCTAACATCTTCCTCCCTACGGTACTAAAAGCTGCATCACTAGATGAGCGGGGTAAGCACAAAATCGGTGGTAAAAGCTCTTCATCATCAAAGCCTAGCCTTGAGAACCAATCATTAATACTATTTCCAATTCTAGCGTTAAAATCACCAGCCATAAAAAGTTGATCTGCAGGAAACTTTTTAGTTAAAAATGAAATATAGTTAAAAAGCTTGTCCCAATTGGCAATATAGTCACCACCTTCTGCAGCCTGGGGTAGAT